AAGTTTTGTATGTCCTCATCTATTGTAGACCGGAGTTCAGAGTAATGTTGATTAGAGAGGACGAGGGAGGCTACTCCGGTTCCTGCTCCAGCCATGCCTAATCCCAGTAAGACAGCAAGGGTTACAGCAGTAGCAGGTTCTCTTTTCCGTCGGTCTTATGTCGGTCTCCCAAAGTCCTGTAAATTGATCTTGAGAATAGTAAGTTAACCGTGGCACAACCTGTACCATGATGCAGAATATGGGTTCTGGTAAAATTAAAGAGGTATACACACGGGAGGTAAGGCCATCTCTGCAGGACCACCATGTATCATTTGAGGGGAGTAGATATTTGTGAGTAGAAGTAAAAGAATAGGTCTGATTACATAAAGGTTTATATTCTGGGGGGATAAAACTGCTATTACTGAAAATGCAAAGTTCAAGTCCCATAACTTGGGCTATTGTCACTTTGTTGAAAGGTTGTTGGGTCCAGCGACGTTGAGTGGGGTCGTCAACCTCATAAATGTGGCCAAGTACAGCTATACCTTCATAGAATGGAGGGGAGGAATGATAGCAGAGCCAGCAAGATTCTACTAATTGTGGATTGCTATTGTTAATAGTAAGGAAGGTTTGATTAATAAGGGGTAAAATAAGGTTTTTGGCTCTGGGTAAAATCCTTAAGGGCGGCACCTATGGCCAAGCCAATGTTAGGCCAGGTGGGGTCAACATCAGAGCAAAGTCTGATAAAGTCAGTAATGGTTTTGCCACTGCGGTGGGGACGTAAAGCTGCTTGGCAAGCAGAACTGGCATTTTCAAAAGCAAGATGTTTAATAAGCTCATTATCAGTTTCTTCCTTTCCCATAATGCACTCAGCAGCCTCTGTAAGGCGTCCAATGAACTCACTGTAAGATTCATGGGGTCCCTGTCGAACTTTGGCCAAAGAGGTAACAGCGGACCCTTGAGAAGGGAGGCTTTTCCAGGCCTTAAGGGCAGCGTGTTGAATCTGAACAAGCAATCCTGGGGGAAATTTAGCCTGTTTTTCATTAGTATCAAGTGGCTTGTTGCCCATCAATTTTTCTATGGTCCAGGACTTAGAGTGACCACCAACAGATGTGTTACGGTATGCTATATCTTGGCATCTTTCACCATAGTCAGCCTTCCATAAAAGAAAATCGCCTCATGTTAAAGTAGCCTTGGTTAGCATGGCCCAGTCATTTACTGTAAGCCAGTCCTCGCTCAATGATTCAAAAAGAGAAATGGTATAAGGGGCAGTAGGGCCGTATAAGGAAACAACATTTTTTAATTCTTTAATATGTCTAAATTTAAGGCGATGGTATTTTTGAGCTCTAATAACCAGATGCTCTCCTCCTTCCTTCTCCCCATTTGAGTCATCAGACTTGGGCCCTCCCTCCGGCTCTTCCTCCCTGTCCTCTGCCTCAATCTCTTGATCATCAGATTCTCCTTCTAGTTTTTCCGAAGTGGCTCTAATTTGAGACTGAGTGACTGGAAAAGCATGAAGGATTTTTCCTTTTTTGTCATTAATTTTTGTAAGTTTGGGTTCCTAATTTCTAGATCCAATTTAAATAGTTGTTTTAATAGTTGGGCCTTTTCCTTCTTGACTTGAAGTAGGGACCTTAAGGTCTGGGCTTCCTGGGAAAGCTTAACTGTGGCTTGTCTGGTGACCGCCTCAAGGTCTGTTGAAGAGACCAAGGCTGGGGCACAGAAGGGAGGGGCTATTTTATAGGGAGGAGGTCATGTGCCCAAGGGGTTTAGAGGAGGCTAATCTGAGGCGTGGTATTTAGCAGCCTCCTCTTCCAAAGTGGCCTCATCCTCCGGGGGAAGGACATCATTATTGGGCCTTTGGGATCTGAGGTTAGAAAGAACTGGGTATATAGATTTTGGTTTTTGTAATTGTGAGTCGCTGTTAGCGTCAGGCATTGGTATGGAAACCGAGGGACAATGAGACTCGACTGAGGGGGGACGGGAGTTTTAAAAATTCTTCACCTTCCTTAACCACTCTAGACACATCTTTGTGTTGGTGGAGAACTTGGAGGATCTCATTTATGAGGTTCCAATACGAAAAAGCCTGAACAGGAATCTTTTCGGGGCCAAAAGTTTCATAAAAATCCTTAAGACAGTCTCCAACACGACCCCACCTTCTTTCGTCTATAGTGCCCTCCTGAGGAAACCAAGGGCAAATATCCTCCAGGAGCATAAAAAAATTGAGTTAAATCTTTTTTCTTAACCCGTGTTCCTCGTGCCTTGAGTGAGGCCTTTAGGCCTTGAACAAAAAGTTCATGCTTACTAAGTGTTTGTCCCATAATTGCGTTGCCTCTCTTACCTTATGGGTCTGTATCGCAGTTGGGCGTTTCTGCGGTGATCACGATGCGGATCTTCACTCACCGGCTAGGTGGTGATCCAAGAAGAAGAGAGCTCAATCGGCGACGTTCAGGATCCGTGCTTAGAGCCCCATGTTGGGCGCCACCTGCCCTGGCCCGCGGGGTAGGTCAACAAGAGCTCGAAGAGGAACTGACCTGAATGAGAGACAAACCACACACGAGAAAGGAGACCAGGACAGAGTTCTGATCAAGGTCTGTTTATTGAACTTACAAGCAGGCTTATATACTATAAATGAATGAGGAAGTGGTTGCAACATATTGGTAACACAGTTTTTTGCAAAAAAAAAAAAGGAATGCAGGTGGGTGGGGTAAGTAAAAGATCAGTATCTATCTTTACGATCAATCTAAGCCACCGGGAGGTCTGTTACAAAATTCCTTAATCGATATGTTATGAGCTGTCAATTGGCTTTGTGGTTAAGCAATAACTCTAGCAAAGGATAGCTTTAGGAAAAGTTTTACTGTGGTCTCCGGCATACCTGAATGATCACAAACAAGGCCATACTAAAGCTACCAGCACAACTATGTTTATTGCAGCATTATTTACCATAGCTAAGATACGGTAACCAACCCAGATGCCCCTCAGTAGATGAATGGATCAAGAAAATGTGGCATATATACACAATGGAATTCTATGCCTCCATCAGAAAGAATGACATTGCCCCATTTGTTAGGAAATGGAAAGACTTGGAAAAAAATTATATTAAGTGAAGTAAGCCAGGCCCAAAGAAACATAGGTCCCATGGTTTCCCTTATTTGCAATAATTAGTATATGTCTGAGACAAGCAGAAATGGTCAGATAAGTTGATGTTAGGTGAAATGAACCCCAAGATAAGGACTCAAATATTTCTTTCTTTCTATTGTTTCTAACATATTTATAAGATGATTTCTTTGTTGCTTTGTATGTCCCTCCCCACAATATAACCTCTGTTTTCACTGTATTTGATGTGGTATAAAATGTGGAGGGGAAGGGAAAAAACAAATTGTTTAAATAGGGATACAGGTGGGCCCATTGCAACAATGAGATGTACAAGACGTTTTGTCGAAAAACGAACTTTACAAGGGGGAGGGGGGGCTGAGAGAGCAGGGATGGTAAGGGGAAAAAAAGGAGGAGGCAACAATGCTTGATAAAAAATGTACTCATTACCTTGCTCATGTAATTGAAACCCCTGTGTATGGTATTTTCACAACAAAAAAACTTACTAATGAAACAACAACCAAAAAACCAGCAGTCCTATCTCCCAGGGTTGGGAGAGGTTGGAACCCAATATTCCAGGAAGTGCCAGACTTCAGTTTGCAGAACTGCCACCTGTCCTGAAGATATAAATTTATTTCTCCTTTAGCTAAAATCAATTAGTAAACAATCAGCCATTCTAATCACTAGGTGAATTGAGGATATACTCTGGGATTAATGCTGTTGTCCAGTTCTCTTCCTGGAGGATGATTTATTGTTGTTTAATAATTTTCTTATTAGCATAAATTAATTGTACAAAGGTGCTCTATTTTGATCATTCCAACATGCATACAGTGTACTTTAATCAAATTTACCTCATTCTCTCCTTTATCTTCCACTTTAGCAATTTTTGACAAATTCATTCTCATAGACAAAATTACTGATAATTCATGGTAAATACACATCTAAAGATAAAGTGATTTTTTTTCCCTAGGGAGGGAGAATCTCCTCTCCCTCTGGGCCTGGGAACTGTCGCTGAGCTCTTCAAGAGCTCAAGGCTAGTATAATACCACTTAAACCACAGCACCACTTCCGGTTTTCTGGTGGTTAATTGGAGATAAGAAGAGTCTCACAGACTTCCCTGCCCGGGCTGGCTTTGAACCGTGATCCTCTGACCTCAGATTCCTGAGTAGCTAGGATTCCAGGCGTGAGCCACTGGCGCCCAGCTCCTCTTCCCTTTTCTTAGAGGATTTACTTTAGACAACTTGTAATCGCAAATTGTGGGTTTTGTTATGCTATTTTCATAAGACATATGTTTCTTTAATATCAGAAACATGTATTATCTAATGCCATTGTAAATAATACTTCAATATATATTTTAAATACTAAAACGAATCGTATTATGTAAACAACGATTTATCAAAATTAAAAATAGAATATATAATATTGTCCCCTCCCTCTGCATTCATTGTTTAGCGTAGAACGTGTATGTAACGGACAGCATCTTCCTAGCATCTCATAAAAGGGAGAGATTTCTTTCTTTCCTTACAGTCCCCTCAGCGGATTGTGTACGATCCCATCACATTTGGGTTTCTTGTTTATGCAACACTCAGACTTCTTTCTCCTTCACTCTGGTGGAGAGGTTTTATTTGGGGGTGGAGGAGGGAAGTTTTCCACCATACTCCTCCAACAGTAGAAACACGGGTGTTAGGAAAGGGGTTGGGGAGAATTTGCAGCCTTTGCAGCAGGCGCGGCCAGGTCCGCGCGCGCCACTGCAGCAGCTCAGGTCAGCTGGGTACCACCAGCGGCCTGGAGCATCCGCATCCCGGAGAGGAGGCGGTGTCGCGCAAGCCACGCCCCCGGCTCTCGCCCCGCCCCTCCCAGAGCGCAGCAGCTGGGAGAGCAGCCGGCGTCCGGGACGCCTAATCCGCGCGCTGCCTTGGGTGACTGAGGAGATGAAGATCTGGAGCTCGGAGCACGTGTTCGGGTGAGACTGGCTGCAGGCTGCGGGTTGCGGTGGGATTTGCACCTACGCCACCGGGAAAGGCCGTCTGAAGACTGCGGCCTCCGCATCCTGGAGACAGACTGGCGCTACCCATTCGAGGGCTGTTGCTAAGCGGAGCCCCGCGGAGCATGCCCGCTGCTGGGTCGGGCGCGGCCGCGAGGCTGCGGGGCTGGGGGCTGGCGGGGCGGTCCGGCGGGCGGGGCGGCAGCGGCGGCTTCTCCGTGCGCGCAGGACTCGCCTGGGTCCCACGCAGGCCTGATCCGCGCTGCTGCGCACGCTCCGCGGTGAGGCGAGGGGGTCCCAGGCCCGGGAGAGGCCTTGCAGAAGCAGTTACCCTTTTTGATGAGATTATGCTGTGCAGGAGCCTTAAACAAGCATGAAGTATGATTCCTGGAGGTCCCCAGAGGGCCTGAGCTGGAAGAAAGAGAGATGGGAAGACGACATTTGGGAGCCCTTGTCACTGAGCTCATTTGCAGGCCTGGACGCTTCCAAAACCCAGAGAACAGCTTAAACATGCCTTTCTGACCTAAGTGGTATCTTCCAAAGAATCACTGATCTGAAATCATTCTTTAAGAATGGGGGGTGTGGGGGGGGAGGCTGGGAAGGTGGCTCAGTGGTAGAGCGCTTGCCTTGCATGCATGAGACCCTGGGTTCGATTCCTCAGCACTATGTAAGCAGAAAAAGCTGGAAGTGGTGCTATGGCTCAAGTGGTTGAGTGCTAGCCTTGAGCTCAAGAGTTGAGGGTCAGCGCCCAGGTCGAGTTCAGGGCCCCACGACTGACAAAAAAGAAAGTGTGTGTGTGTGTGTGTATACACCTGTGCATGTGCGCCTGTCCTGGGGCTTGAACTCGGACTAGATGCACTTCTTGAGCTTATTTGCACAAGGTAGGGCTCTGCTACTTGAGACACAACCACACTTCAGGCCTTTTGGTGATTAAGTGGAGTTAAGAGTGTTGCAGACTTTCCTGCCCAAACTGGCTTAGTTAGAATCAAAATCCTCAGATCTCATCTTCCTGAGTAGCTAGGATTACAGGTGTGAGCCACCAGCGCATGACTTACTCCTTAATATCTTTGAAATGTAAAAGAACAAAGAATTTTAAATTCCTTGATTGTACTCCTTGGGGCGGGATGGGGGTGGGGAGGTGAGGGGGAATTCTGCATGTCATGCAGATCATAATCTTTTGACTTTTTAAAATGGAACATCATAATAAAAACTAACCAGCTGGTTTCAGAATCTCCCAGAGTGTTTTGTGGAATCTTGATTAGATCTATGTTTGTCTGTCTGTCTGTCTATCTATCTATCTATTATAGTTGGTAGCTTTCCTAGGATGTTCTCTTAGGAATAATACATAGCTCATTCCTTCTGGGTGCAGAGAACTGTTTTGTTTGTTTGTTTTCACCAGTCCTGGGGCTTGAACTCAAGGCCTGGGCACTGTCCCTGAGCTTCTTTTACTCAAGGCTAGCACTCTACCACTTGAGCCACAGTGCCACTTCTGCCTTTTTCTGTTTAAGTGGTACTGAGGAATGGAACCCAGAGCTTAATGCATGCTAAGCAAGCACTCTACCACATTCCCAGCCTGGGGAGAAGTTTTTTTTTTTGTTGTTGTTAGTCATGGGGTTTGAACTCTGGGCCTGGGTGCTGTCCCTGAGCTCTTCAGCTCAAGGCAAGCACTCTACCACTTGAGCCACAGCTCCACCTAGGACTGCGCCACTTAGGTTTTCTGGTGGTTTATTGGAGATAAATTTCATAGACTTTCCTGCCCAAGTTGGCTTTGAACCGTGATCCTCAGATTTCAGCCTTCTGAATAGCTAGGATTACAGGCATGAACCACTGGGGCAAAGAAGTTTTAAAGTCAGTGAATTTAGGGATACAGAGTCCCGGGGCACAGTTTTCTCCAGGACCAGTTGAGAACTGCATTAGCAGTGAAGTGTTGGCTGATGATAATCAGCTGTGAAGTCACTTCTGCTACTTCAGTTTTTTTTTGTGTGTTTTGTTTTGTTTTGAAGTACAGGGTTTTGAAGTCAGAGAGTTGCTCAAGTCATATACCCAGCCTTTTTTTTTTTTTTGCTTTAGTTGCTTTTCATATGGCTTCTGGCACTTTAGAGCAGGGCTGGCTTCAGATAGAAGTCCTCCAACTGACAACCTCCCTTGTAGCTATTATCACAGGTTTGATGCATCTTGCCCAGATGTATTGGTTGTGATGGCATCTGTCCTCTAACCTCAGTCTTTCTCATCTCTGTTTCTCTAGTGGCTGGGATTGCAAGTGTGAGCCATTGTACCCAGCCAGCTGTTAATACTTGTGGTAATTTTTGCAGCTACAATCCACTTATTATTTAAGCTTTATTGAAGAATAAGTTATATGCCACTCAACTATCTATAATGTAAGTGATCTGTTTAAAAGTGTACAATTGTGGATATATTTACAGAAAATTTTAGTTTCTAGTAGATTGTGAACGTCAGCATAGTTTGAACATTCCTATCATGCCTTCTACCCCAACCTCATTCTGCTTTCCCTTTCTGTTGATTTGCCTTTTCTAGATATTCATATAAATATAATCATACAATATGTGGCGTTTTGTGTCTGGCTTATTTTGTTTAGCATCATTATTTTTGGGAGGGGTGGTTACCCGTGTTTTAGCATGTGTTGGTACTTGGTTCCTTAAATCATTTGCTTTCGGCCCCGACACCCTGCAGTGCCTGACACATAGTAAATGCTCAGAAAGGGGCAAAGATAGGTCACATGGAGACCAAATGCCCTTCCAAAAGAAGCATGCTGGAAGGTCATGGCCACTCAAGGAAGTAGGGCTATGGGAGGAGATGGGCCTAGTGCCAGCTCATCTGGCCAAGAGCAAGAAAGAGATGAATTAATATCACAGGGAGGAGTGGAAGTGCCACTCCCCCACTTAACATTCTGTGCCTTTTCTCTACCCAAAGGCAGCTAAGATGACGAATTTGATGGGCATCTTTCCAAAGGTTCAGGTGCTAGAGGTGCACAGGACTCCATTTATGGACACCTGTGTGTCCACATATAACATGTAATTTGGTTTGCTTTTCTGAAATAGAAATCAGTGACATCATCTTGCCTCTTCTTAGTAGTATGCTTTTGAGCTCTGTCCATAGATAGATACCTAAAGGTACAGGTATTGATGGATTAAACCAGCTGGGTAATACTCCTTTGTGTGAATGGAGACAGTATGTCCTTTTTCTTACAAGCATATTGTAGTAGTTAGCCCTGTATATATTTCTGCTTCATGTAAGGGCTGTGATGATTATTCTTGATTGTCAACTTGATTGAATTGAGAGATAGGAGATTAGTAAAGCTACCTCTGGATGCTCTGAGGGCATTTCCAGATATTAGATCCCCAAGGCTCTTGCCTAACCAATGGCTTGACCCATTCATGGATTCAGAATTTAAAAAGACCATTGATAGGGGGTGGAATTTGGGAAGGTAGAGCCTGGTTGGAAGTAGTGGACAGTAAGGGTGTATTTTTGATGGGTATATGTTATCTCTGGCTAACTAACACAAGAAGCCAATTAGACCAGCAGATATTAAGTTGCTCAGCTCTTGGAAAATATTGAGGACCCAAAGAGTTTTTGTCTGTGTTGATTATATCTATCATATTAGAGTCAGATGTGATTACAGCCCAGCACTTGGGAGGCCGAGGTAGAGGACTATGAGTTTAAGGCCAGCATAGGCTACTTAAGGAGATCCTGTTTCACATATATAAGTAGATAAATAATATTAGAAGTTACAGTTAAAAATTAAAATATTTTCTTTTGTAGTACTATGTATGAACTCAAAGCCTCACACTTGTTAGGTAGGTCCTTTACCACTTGAGCCATATCCAAAAATATTTATTGTATCATTACAATGAATAATAAGCCCTCATATTTTAAAATAAAATCGGTTTTCCAAAATTAGAAACTATCCCGTGTGTGTGTGTGTGTGTGTGTGTGCACGTGCGTGTACACGTGCGTGCGCGTTCATATTGGTACTGTGACTTGAAACCAGGGCCTATGCACTGTCCCTTAGCTTTTTTGCTGAAGACTGGCGCTCTACCACTTGAGCCACAGCCCTACGTTTAACTTTTTGGTGGTTAATTGAAGATGTACAGGAGTCTCATGGACTTTTCTACCCAGGCAGCTTTGAACTGTGATCTCAGATCTCAGCCTCCTGAATAGCTAGGATTACAGGGTTGAGCCACAGCACCCAGTTGAAGATTGGCCCTTTGAAAATAATGTCTGTTGTGTCTGTGGTCTATAGAAGGAGATTCTACTCTCTGCCTGGACAGCCCCTGTTTGGCTGTATGTTGTCTGGTTAAACCTAGCCTCATGCTGGTATGTAATTGATTTTGTTTTTTTGGGGTCTGGTCATGGGGCCTGAACTCTGGGCCTGGGTGCTGTCCCTCAGCTCTTCAGCTCAAGGCTAGCGCTCTACCACTTGAGCCACAGCGCCACTTCTGGCTTTTTTTTTTTGCTTATGTGGTGCTGAGGAATCGAACCTAGGGCCTCAGGCATGCAAGGCAAGTGCTCTACCACTGAGCCACCTTCCCAGCCCGCAGGTATGTAATTGGAAAGGTAGAAATATTTTACTGTCATAAGTATTATTATTGTGTAAAAAACAAACAAAAACAAACAAACAAACACCGATAGCTTCTTAAAAATGAATTGCAATGTAAAACGAAGAGAAAAACTAGCTCTGCATTCAAACCTATTGGCTTTGGTGAGTGCTCTCTAGGGATGAGTAGTGGCATCTTGTACTGCCTGTTTGGAGCTCCATGTTTACTCTGTTTGCTGTATGGGGTAGTTGTCATAATTGTGCAATGAGTACAAGTTTTCTAAAATTCCAGTTTTCACTTGAAAGCTCAGATTTGATCTTTAGCAACAAATACTACCAGTTGTTTACTTCGAATCGACAGGCTCATGTCATGAATTGTCCAGCAAATGTCTGCTATATCCCCAAGTTAGAACAGCAGTTAGTGTGCTGGTCTTCCAAGTATCAGGTGCCAGCTGGTGGAGACAGCAGTGAGTTGGACCAGCAACCTGAGCAGTGGTCCATTGCCCACAGATAGCCAGGGAACTTTGTTCTGCTGATGAAGTGTTTTTGGCGCACTTCCTGTCCTGGCAGAGAATAGCAAAGACAAAAGTACTCAGAGGTCAAGTGGTACTAAATTAATCATCTTATCATTTCATCACAGTCCTAAGAGAGTCCACCACACTCCACACTCTCCTTGTGTAAGACACTCTGCATTGGTGAGGAATAGTGACCAGGCTGAGGTTTGGAATCTGGCCTTCGCTGCTGGGGAGGTTCCAGAACTTTCTCTCCATTACTTTGCTGCATCAATGTAAATATGGATACTGGAGAAGGGCCAGTAATGTCTTGATGGCACTGTGATAGTTACCATCTAAAAGAATCCATTGTCCCCTGCGGCTCATTCTCTAAGGGCCACTAGAGGTAGGATATAGTTGAACCTTTTAGCTGTGGCTGCCTACTTTAACAAAACAAAACTTTTTTGTGCTATTACTGGGGTTTGAACTTGGGCACTATCCCTTAGCTTTTTCACTCAAGGCTAGAGCTCTACTACTTGAGCCACAGCTTCACTTCTAGCTTTTTGGTGGTTAATTGTAGATAAGAGTCTCACGGACTTTCCTGCCTGGGTTGGCTTCAAACCTTGATTTCTCAGGTCTCAGCCTCCTGAGTAGCTAGGATTAAAGGAGTGAGCTGCCAGGTGCTTCAAAACAAAACTTTCTATAATGAAAATCTTAGAGAGCTGATGGGCTGGGAAGGTGGCTCAGTGGTAGAGCGCTTGCCTTGCATGCCTGAGGCCTTGGGTTCGATTCCTCAGCACCACATAAAGCAAAAAAAAAGCCAGAAGTGGCACTGTGGCTCAAGTGGTAGAGCACTAGCCTTGAGCTGAAGAGCTGAGGGACAGTGCCCAGGCCCAGAGTTCAAGCTCCACAACCGGACCCCCCCCCAAAAAAAAAATGGAGAGCTGAGAGTTTAGGATGTCTTTAGTTGGTTTCCCCTGGGTCCTTTTTCCTGGGTGAGTTCAGGCGAATTTTAGACAGCACAGAATTTCCTCCTACAGAGTACTGGCACTCTGGCTGTGGTCAATGAGGGCCTTTTCTTGTTCCTTTCCACCCCTTAGCATACAAGTGGAGTTCACCCTGCACCTTCCTTGGATTGTGCCATGAAGAACTTTAACATGGGTGGACAAAGACACAGGTGTATATTGGAGCCTTCCCAGGCCCCCTTCCTTTGCGGGACAGGATTCAGACGTTACTGTTTTCTCAGTGTGCAGTGGGACTTTTGAGAATAATCTCCAATAATTTCTAGTCTGCCTAAATTTGGCAGTGACAATGTAGAACTCAGGGCTTGGGTACTATCTCTGAGCACTCTCTACCATCTGAACCACAGCTCCACATTGGCTTTTTTCTGGTTCCTTGGAGATTAAGAGCCTCTCAAACTCCCTGTCTGGAAAAGCTTTGAACCATGATCCTTGGATCTCAGTTTCCTGAGTAACTAGTATTAACAATTGTGAGCCATGGGTGCCTGGTAGATGTGTCTATGTAGGAGCTCAGTGGCTTCTGGAGCAGAGCATCCTGAGGGAGAAAAGGCTGTTTGTTGAAAGCAATGGGCAACTGTATGACTGGCATGGACAGGAGATGAACTAGGAGAAAAGGTGTTCACCCACTTAGCCCAGGGTTAAGGGCTAGAAATTGTGTCCTGCAGGGTTACTGGGGAAGAATTCCTGGACCCTCAGGGACTCTCACAGGATCTGGGGATGTAGGGCTGGAAGTCTAGAAGGGTCATTGATTGTGGTGAGCTGGTGACACCTATACCATCTCTGTTGCTGCAGTCTGATTGTCCTAGACAGGTGGGTCCTGAAGAAATCAAGATGTTTGTATGGATGAAAGAAGCGTGGTTGATGGAATTATGATTAGTGGTTGTCTTTGGAGAGTGGAGATACTTTAAATTTCGAACTGCTTCTATCATGCACCAGTTAGAAGACTGAACAAAGCATAGGGGCTCTTCAACTTTCAATAGAGTCACATCCTGATAAACCCCAAGCAGGTGGAGAATGTGATCAGTGAAAATGCATCAGTGTATGTAACCATACAGACCGCTACAGCTGGCCTGGCACAGCTGGCCTGGCACACCTTAGATGAGCTCAGAAGTAGCATTAGTCTGCATTTGTGTAAACCCTTGAACACAAGCTCCGTTCCTTTTTTTTGCAGGTACTGGGGCTCCAACTCCAGTCCTTGCATTCCTACTAGCTCTAGCCACAACCCCACTTCTGGCTTTTTGCTAGTTAATTGGAGACAAGAGTCCTTGAGATGAGCTCTCAGCCTCTTGAGCAGCTAGGATTATAGGCACAGGGCTACCAGTGCCTGGTTGCAAAGCCCATTTTATAATAGCTATCTGATTCCATAAACATGGCCTATCTTGGTTATTTACTGAATCCTGTACTGAACGTGAAAAGCAGGATGACTGTAGATTATGCATTTGCACCACCATAAAGTAGAAAGATCTTGAATCTTGGTAAGTGGAGGATGGTGTGCAGCTGATTCTCCATCGGACTGAGTAGCTGGGAGAAGCCATCTTCTTGTGTACGTGGCATCAGGTGGTCAAGTAGGACAGCCAGCAGGAAGTCAGGGTCCAGCCAGTGCTCCCAGCAGGAGGCCTGGCAGAGGCTTGGCACATGCAGGCATGTTGGTTTCCCATGAGGCACAGGGCCCTGCACCAGAGATGAGGACCAAGGCCCTCCTGCCAAGAAGCCCCCACCGAATGGTTCTGTGTCCTGTGGACAGGGGAGGTGCGGGAAGGACAAAGGGCCAGGGAGGCAGGTGGGATGGGGTCACCTCTATTAGATGGAATCTTCCTGTCCTCAAAGCATCTGATTGTGGATGTTATTCCTCTCACCAGCCACCCATGGGACACGGTCATCAAGGCAGCCATGCGGAAGTACCCGAACCCCATGAACCCTTGTGTGGTGGGTGTGGACGTGCTGGAGCGCGGTGTGGATGGAAGCGGGCGCCTGCACAGCTTGCGCCTGCTCAGCACTGAGTGGGGGTTGCCCATGCTCGCACGAGCGGTGAGCACCCCATACCTTACCCTCCCTTCTCCTCGTGCCCCCTTCTCTGCAGCCCTCCCCTGTATCCAGTGCTCCCCCTGCCCCCTGCCTCCCCGTGTCTATCCCCCCCTGCATCCCTCGTACCCTTTACTCCCTTCTCAATGTTTCTCCCGGTGAGGCCTATCTGCTCTCATCTGACCACTCTGGCCTGCCCTTCCTTGTTCTTGGAGCTTGCTCACAGGTCCTGAATCAGGGCCTGGACAGGATGTAGTCTGACTCATCCCTCCCATGGGGTGCTCCTGGCCACACCTCAGGAGCCTCACCTTTCACCCTGTTTGATTTTGATCTTTTTTTTTTTTCCTGTATCTGTCACCCAAGGGAGTGGGGTATGCTGGGTAGATTTTTTTCTCTTCTGTCCATTTCTTCACCCCATCTTCACAGCACTTGTTGACTAAGTGAATTCATTAGTAAGTAGAATTTTTTTTATCTCCTCATCAGCCAAAATTTATTATTTTTATTTTTTTATTGTGAAAATATTGTACAGAGGGGAGTAAGTAGAATTTATAACATGCTACTACGCAAGTTTTGTTTTGTGTTTTAGATTTTGGGAACCAGTAGGACTTCGACATACGTCGAAGAGCGCTCTGTTGTGGACCCTGCAGAAAAGAAAATGGAGCTTTGTTCCACCAATGTAAGCAATGGCCTAAGCTGGAAAAGGTGCTGACACATGAATAATGGCTTCATTGAGTTTATCTTCAGCCTGCCTCTGGTTTTAACTGATGGATTATTTTTATTAGGAAAAGTGAATTTATTTAGTGGTATTTTGTGTTTTTCTCCAAGTATAATAAGTGGAGACAATTCAGATGAATAACTAAGTTGTGCTGTCCTATTGTGTAGCTGGTGACCATTGATAATGATACCCTATTGTGTATTGAAAGAACTAGAAGAGACAGGCCACCAGTGGCCCACACTGTAATCCTAGCTACTCAGGAGGCTGAGATCTAAGGATCGTGGCACAAAGCCAACCTGGACAAGAGTCTGTGAGACTCTTAGCTCCAGTTAACCAGCAGAAAGGTGGAAGTGGAGGTGTGACTCAAGTGGTAAAGCTAAGAGGAAGTGCTCAGGCCCTGAATTCAAGCCTCAGTACTGGCAAAAATTACAAAAAAAGGTTTTGAATGTTTTCCCCATAGACATAAGTTTGAGAACCCTTTATCCTTATTTGAACATCGTTCAGTTATACATGTATTGAAACATTGCCATCTCTCATAGATAAGTACAGTTTTTATGTCAGTAGAAAAACAATGAAACAAAAATGCAAATAAGGATGAATTGTTACAAAGTGAATATACCGTGCAAGCAGTGGTGAGCAGCCTCTTGATGCATCTAACCACTGTCCCAACCATAAAGATGAATGTTGGTATTTATTTATTTATTTATTTGTTGGCAAGGGTCACACGAGGGCACCCAGGCTGGCCTATGTACCTCAGCTGGGACTACTGCCATGTTCTACCATACCCAGCCTATGATCATTTTTAAAGCCATTTGCCCCTCCTTTTTTCTTGCATATCTCTTAATTTAAATAAATATATATCATATGCATATATAAAGCATAGTGGTAAATGGTATATGTATATGTGATATATATGTGTGTACATATAATGTCTACATGAGCATGTATGTATATATGTATGTATGTGTATGTGTAATATGTATATATAGAGTTTAGTGGCAGACTGCTTGCTGAGCACTGGCTAGGTCCCTGGGTTTCATTCCCAGTACTTCCAAAAAGAAAGAAAGAAATGTGTTAGTTTAATGCAGATACAAAGAATATATGGTAAGAAGTGCCTAGACTAGAAAAATGGAGTTTATTTTTGTGCTATGGATAAAACCTAGGGTCTTGCATGTGCTAGGCAAGCATTCCACCATGGAGCTAAACTTGCAGCCTCTTGGGACATGGTTTATTTCATGAAGTATTACTTACAAGCTGGATGTCCATGGTGTTTGCCTGTAATCCCTAGCTACTCAGGTGGCTGAGATCTGAGGATTGAAGTTCAAAGCCAGCCCAGGCAGGCAAATCCTTGAGATTGTCTCCAATTAACCAGTAAAAAGCCTGAAGTGGAGCTGTAATTCAAGTAATAGAGCACCAGCCTTGAGTAAAAATGGCTACGCAAGAGTGCAAGGCTCTGAGTTCAAACCCTAAGTATCAGCACACACACGTAAAAATATTACTTTCAGCAAACTTAGAAATGGGTCTCCAGGTGAAATTCTAACATGGTACCTGTACAAGGTAGCTTTCCTTCCTCACAGATCCCCTCTTCTGGCCGACCTGCCTTGTTCTGCACATCATGACATTGTTTATTGGTCCTACCAATAGTATCATGCACTCATCATGTGCAGACCTTGAGCTGCTATAGGGAATACAGGACTAAGAAAAGCTCCTGTTCTCTCTGGGTATCGTGTCATGGATAGACATCAAGCCAGCCTGTGCCAGTGGAGGCATGTAAACTGTCAGGCTGGGAGAGAACCACAGATAGAAACTAACAAGAAGACTGGGGTTTCCCATTCAGACTAGCAGGCCTCCACGCATTAGCACAACTAAGCCAGGGCAGGCAGAGTCTGGTGGCTGGAGCAGACAGGGGCAGTACTCAGGAGGGACAGGGTGGCAGGCACAGAAGATAGTGGAGATACCAGCAAAGTTCCCAATCTTCTCAGCATTTTCTGGGAGCCCATGTTTGAAACAAACAAGGGTGCTGCTCTGGTACTTGCAGTTTCTCCTCTGTCCCTTAAGAATATCCCCAGTACATTTGGACTTTTAGGAGGCTGTGGGGACCACTAGCTCAAAGCCTGTGACCTCTACTGTTCTTCTATTCCCATTGAAAGCTGGCAGCACTTTTACAGAAGAAAGCACAGTGTGTGCTTGGCTGCTGGACAACGAGGCTCCAGATTGCTCTCAGATAGGGCCGCTTTTCACCTAATGCTGGAACTCTACAACTTGAGCCACACCTCCATTTCCAGATTTTTGCTGTTTAACTGAGATTAGAGTCTCTTATTTGTCTGCCCAGGCTGCCTTCAAACCTGGATCCTCAGATCTCAGTCTCTTGAGTAGCTAGGATTACAGGCGTGAGCTAGCAGTGCCCAGCTGTGAAACTCTGTGGGTAACCCTGTGCACAGTAGGAAGAAAAGTTCCCTACTCACTACTTTCATCCGGATGGCAAGGATAGGCAGGTTGATGGTGAGAGATTGTTATAAAGCAGAAGTGCTTTTGCTACCACTGAAAGCTGATTTTGCTCTGGACTTTTTTTTTTTTTTTTTTGCTGGTCTTGGGGCTTGAACTCGGGGCCTGGGTACTGCCCCTGAGCTTCTTTGGCTCAAGACTAGCACTCTACTACGTAAGCCACAGCACCACTCCTGGCTTTTTCTGTGTATGTGGTACTGAGGAATCGAACCCAGGGCTTCATATATGCTAAGCAAGCACTCTACCACTGAGCCACCTTCCCATCCCTAGACTTTTTCTTTAAATTTTAATGATCTTGTGTTGGAATAGGTTCTCAGAGGATAAGGTACATCATATGAAACAGTGTGCAATTCTAGAGCTTCATTTTGAAGTACTTCCATACTTCAAATGGCCACATGTGGCCATTGACATTTAAATTAATTAGGATTAAATAAAATGTCAAAATCTTAGTTCTTAAGTTCCTGTATTGCAGACAGTGCAGACACAGGATCAAATTACCACAGAAGATTCCAGGCTCAGTCTTGTTCTGGAGCTCCAGGTTTCTTTTTGGTTTTGGCTTTGGTGTGTGTGTGTGTGTGTGTGTGTGTGTGTGTGTGTGTGTGTGTGTGTGTGAGCTCCAGGTTTCTTTTTGGTTTTGGCTTTGGTGTGTGTGT